AAGTGATAAGAAGCGATGATTATGAGGACATAACAGCTGACTCTTGACTTAAAGAGGGGTTAAGACTGAAGTATCCAAAGCAGCACCCCCATAGGGAGTCAGTTCCACTAAGTGACACTTCTTGGAGAGGATAAAGTTATTTTGGGGTAACTTCCTTCTTACATCTGGAACACTGAGGAAATGAGGGTGATTTGACCCTGTAGAAGTAACATGGTGTATCCTAGGTCCAAACTGGTAAACTATAGTATGAAACTTATCTGAACATTCAACATGGGAATAGCGATAAAATAACAATCAAGTACTAACAAGTTTGAAATGTTGCATGTGTGGGAAAAGACATCGCAAAGTAAAAAGTAAGCTTGCCCACAAGACTGCATAAATGATTTCAAATATAATCAAGGCTAGAAAGTAATTGATCAGCTCAGATATAGTAATTATTGGAGGTATCAGGGTCATGTGAGGAAATCCACTGGTTATGTTTTTTTTCTTTTATTTATGGGGGAAGAAAGAATCATGCCTCTAATGTTAGACATTTTTCTTTTTCTTTTTAATTCATTTTTGATGACCTGGTGGGCAATTAGGAGGATGGACTAAAGGTCTACAGTAAAATGCAATAGTTCATTGTGAAACCATAACTTAAAAGAGGCCTTCTGAAGGTACATCATTCTTTAAGCCAATAAATAGGGATATCTACTTGCATTTAAGAGGTTTTGTGATGGGGACTGATGCATATCCAATGTTTTTATTGAACATTTTTGTTGGCTCTATTATAGAAAGAAAACCTATGTAGAATATTTCAGTTGGTATTAATGATGATCAGTAACTACCATTTTGTAGGGATCTCAAATATTTTAATGGACCTTTAATTAAAAATATTTTTTTTAAAAAATGCTCATATTCTTTCAGCAAATATTTTCATTAAAAATTATTTATGTATGGGCTTAACCATTTTTTGAGCTAATCTGCGATATTTGACAGAACTGTAATTTTTTTTGACCATTAGAAATTTTATGTCATGTTAATAACCATTACAAACAATTATTAAAAAAAAAAAAAAATTCTTCAAGACTAGCCACTTCCTTGGCACTGCAGGTCCCTCCCTTTCAAAAATGCATAAATTGGGAAAATACTCAAAAACATGTCAGCCACTATATCTTGACGATGATCCCCCAAAAACTTGCTTTTACCCCAAACTCTAATAGCAGCAATATTCCATTTTTGGATTAATCTGATCCTTGCTAATAAAAATATAAGGCCCAGAGTTAGATTAGTTTCTCAAGGGTCCTTTTGCAATGGATTGCCCATGTGTGTATATATATATATATATATATATATATATATATATATATAAAACTAGAGAGCCAGATAAACCTACCAAGGTTTCACTAAAGTGGGTCGTCAGGGAAGGCTGGCTAAAAGGTAACATAAGAACGGAATATTTATTTAAATAAATGGTTAACCCCCCAACAAAAAAAAATTTAAATTGTCTAATTGCAGTACCTTCTGTCTTTAATGAAACATGTATAAATGAAGGATTACTGTGCATATATATATATATATATATATATATATATATATAAAAAAAGATCCACTTAAAATTTTGAGGGAATTTGAAACACAAACAGACATTCAAAGCATGGCACCTCATTTAGAGTGGAACCATTCAATGTGACTGGAGATATCTCAGGGTCTGATGATGACCCTACCTTGATGATTTGGAAGAAACTACCAAGCAGGCCTTCTTTCATGATTGTACACCAACTGCATCAACTTGTTGTTGACACATAGCATGCTTATAGGACAGTTTTGTTGGTTTTGGATAAGCAGTTTTATTTATAGCAATGCAAGCCATTTATTGATTAGAAGAGGGCTTATTTCTGTGTCTACCTGATGTGATGAAACCCATTGATTTCTTTATTTCTCCCTACAAACTAAGTTTAATATCAGGGTAGAGGACTAGTTGGTGACCATTTCTTTCTTTCTTTTTCCATATTAAGGACTCCAAATTACAAATATCAACAAAAAATTTTTTAGAAAAATAAAGGGGTCCAGTTTGCTTTTGTAGGGTGTCAATTTACAAATTCATTCATTATAAACCCACACAATTTCTTAAAATAATTTTTTTTTTCTTTTAAATAGCGTGATCTGGAGTTATTTTTTCATATATTACTATAAATTATGCACTCCAGATAATGAATTTAAAAAAAACTTTTTCTTTTAAAATATTTTAAGATATGAGAATATTTTGTCGCATAGGTAGATAAAATTTATCAAACTTAAATCCACTTAAATTTTATGAAGTTCAATTAATTTTTTTTCATATCCATGATCAAGTGCTTAAGCACTCAGATCATGGATAAAAAAAAAAAATTATTTCTGCTCTACTGATTATTCTGGATGAATGTGACAGGGCCTCTGTGAAGAGCTTAATGCGTTTTTTTTTGGGGGAAAAGGAATATTTTGCTTCTGAGAAAGGCCTGTCTGTCAGCCCAGCCACAATTACAGTAGAATGTTATTTTGAATTTTAAAAACTTTTTGACCATTGGCCTGCTATTTTTTGTCTTAGTTCCCTATTCTCCATTTTTCACGCCCCCCCCATCCTTTCCTATTAGGACAATAGAAAATAAAGTTCTCAATGTGGGGATATTTTGCTTATTTTCTTTGTCCACTTTTTCTTTACCAGTTAACTTGATTAGCTGCCCTATCAGACTTTAGGTGCGGGGGAGGGGGGTGCACAAAATGTTTTTTCGATTATTTTTTAATCAGGAAAGGTTTTTTTTAAAAAAAAAATGCATTATGAAGAGTTCGATAATTTATCGCTTTCCACGCCACATGAAATTGTAAATGTTTCTTGTGATTTTTGAATAAATGTATTGTAATATTGTGTTTTGAAAGGAGTGGACAACCTACCCCCCCCCCTCCGCATGCAACATTTTCTGTCATGTTATTTAAAAATTATTATTACCATTTTTTGCCTTTTGAGATTTGGTAAGAGAGAAAGAAAAAAAAGGCCTATGTTATATGCCCACAGAAAAACTAAAGGAACATAGGGCTTAAAACAAAAAAAAAAAAAAAAAAACTTTAACCACTAAAAGTATTTTCATAGAATAACGATTATCTTTTTTTTAAATTCTGGATACTTTTATAATGCGATGAACGTGAGTGACGTATCTATTGAGGCTCATTAACAAATTAATTTTTTAAAATTATTTCCAAAATTATTTAATGAAAAAAGTTTAAAACTTAGAGACTAATTAAAATCGAGTCACATCAATCAATTCATTTCAAATTATTTTTAGATTTTATTAAAATAAAACATTTATAAAAAATGTCTTTTTAATTAATTTTTTTTTTAATTAAAACAAAAATTTGGACGTGGCGAAAGGCGGAATGTTGCGTTAGATTATGTCTTCGTTGTTGTTACGCCTTAATTGTAAAAAATTAATTTTTTTTTTTATTCATTTATTTATTCAATAAAATTATTTTACAAAATTACTTCTATTTTTTTTTTCCATTTTAAAAATCGTCAGCACATATGTCACCACATTCAGTACTGGGACTGCAGATAAAGAAAAAAAGTATATATTTTTCTGAATATGAACAATAATGTTTGAAAAATAAAAGTATCTTAAAATTTGAATTTAAGAAGTAACTAATTATGACTTAAACTGCAAAAAATAAAAATAAGTTTTTAAATTACTTTAACTGTCACTGAAAAACCGTTAGCCTTCATTTTTTTTTTTAAATTATTTGGTTTGCTTAACTTTCAGATGAATTTAATTAATTTTATTTCACTTCATAGTTACTCTATTAAACTTTTAACGGGTTAAAAGAAATTATCTGACGATGTCTGCAAGCTTCCATTCTTTCATTTTTTATTAAAATGAGAAAAAAAATTCAAATATGAAGTGAAAAATATTTTCCAGAGAAATATTTAAAAATCACTTAAATACTTTGTTTTTCAAAAGAAACCTCATTTTACAAAAAAGCACAAATAAATTTAATATTTAATTTTGAAAATAGTACTAAAATTTAAAAAAAAAAAAAAATTTTAAACGATGTGTTGTGGGGTAATGAGTTTTTAAATAGATGTATTAAAAGTTAAATCAGCTGAGCTGTGTCGACAAGTCTGAGAAAATTTTCATTACCTCACTGAGAATAAGCTAAAGGCCACCGTTTGCTTTTTCTTGAAGTTATTTTATAAATATGAATAAATATATTATTAGACAATTATAAAAGATGTTTTCTTCAAAAATTACGTTCCTAGACTGGGTCAGCATCACGTGTCCAAGTTGGCGCCATATTCATAGAATTTAGGCGGGAGTTAACACAAAGAAAACCTCAAACATTGTTATCTTTCCTACCGCACCCAATTATTAATTAACCAGAAACTAGGATATAAGTTTTATATAAAAACGAGAAAGTGGACTTGTATAAACCAATACAACGAACTACCACCTAAGATATTTTATTTACTTTCCTTGTATGTACAGTTTTGTAACAAACTTGATAGAAAAGAAAATACTTTACAAAGTGTTTACACAGTGAAAGATTAAGCTTGGATTAAATTTAAAACATTTAATTAGTGTAAGAAAGTAAAAATTGAGATTAAATAAAAGTTAATAATGTAGTAAAAGTAAGTCGTAATAAAAAAAAAAAAAGGTTATCAGTTTCACTGTGCTGTGACCAATTGTTCTAATAATAATCATTGGGTGAAGTTTTAAAATAATGCTATAAAACTTTCAATTTTCCAAACCAGTTAGATTATTGTTTTATTAAGAATAAAACAATAAAATTAACAATCAAAGAAAATAAAACGTTTAAATCTAGTTGTTTATCGAAGAGAGCTCCACTAACAAAAAACATTTAACTTTTTCTTTCTTCTCATTTTTCTCGACCCATAAAAATATCCACTTAAAAACAAAACTTTTATAAATTTAAGTTATCAAAATATCTGTATCAACTAAGAATTTAACAGAAAAGACAAGAACTCAAAATACCTGTGCAGACTGAGTCATTATGCTGTAATGCGTATAAAAAGTACAACAGTGTTGCTGTCAGATGATAACACTCAAACGTCTGGTCTGATTTAGTCGTAATACAACATTCCGACTGAACACATTTCGCGCGCTTTCTCCAGCTGGGTTAATACAAAACTAGGTCAATAGGCGAAACGAAAGTTCATTTTTTTTCCCCTTCTTTTTTATTTATATTTATTTACTTCTAAATGTTTATTTGTTTCTTTCGCAAACGTTTCACTGAGTCAAACAGTTTCTTGAAATGCTATAAATAGATTTTTTGTTTATTTTTTTCTTCTTCAAATACTTTTATTGAATAGCAATTTATAAAACTGTTAGTTAGGAAAAATATTGAAGAAAGCTTTTTTTTTCTAAAAATAGGGGTTTTTAACTAATCAATGCAATATATTTTTTACATAAAGGAGGAAATTTCAAATTAAATCTAACTAAAAGTGACTGAGAATGAATAATAAAATGTACTACCTTGTACGTATTAACTAAATACTGTTCTTAGAAAAAATTGTTACAACGAAATTATTTTTATGAGAGAACACTAAAACGTCAGTTATTTTTTTTATTTGGTGGAAGAGGAGAGTAGCTTTTACTTTTCTGTTTGTGTTCCAATATATAATCGAATTTGCTTCTTACTAGTGAAAAAAATTGTATTTCTTTGTACACAATCCATTTAGGAAGAACTGTTGTTTAAAATAAATTTTCAGGATCCTTTGTTTGATTTTAAATCGAGTAAGTCAAACTCAAGTGTGTAGCCATATAAATATTCTTAAAAATCACAAAAAAGTACTCACATTTTATCAGAAATCTTTTTTTTTTATTTTGAAAAAAAAATGACATATTTTCAATTACACACCCTTAAGAAAATGATTACTCTGGTCTGCATGTGACATATGTTGTTTGGAGAAATTGCACGGGTTCAAGCCCAGGTAAAAGTCAAGATCTTTCAGAGGACTGGAGCAACAGTCTTCCCACTCTTCCTCATGTATTGTACGCATACAGCAAAGAAAAAAAAATCATTAATTTACTAGTTTTTTTTTTTTTATTATTATTATTCTAACTAACAGTATTATGGAAAATAAATCTATTTTTTTACCCTGGAATGTACAAAAAAAATTAAATCAACTCCATTTTCATCATGTATCCTAAAACTGAGGCAGAATTTTGTTGAAATACACAATGAATAAAGTTTTTAAAAAAAAAATTAAATTAAAATTCTCTTTTTAAAATAAGTTTTGCTTTCAGTATATCCGAAATTAGTTAAAAAAAAACGTTTTTACTTTAGTTTTTGTTTGCAGTAAAAGAATTTAAAAAAAAAAATTGGTAAGTCATTTATTTTTCAGCGGGTAGTTCAACATTTTTTTATTTCTATCGCAAAGAAAAACAATGCAAGTTAATCAATGGCATAGCATAAATTAAATAAATATTATATTAAAAATGTAAAGAAAACATAGGGAGGCTCATCTTTTTGTTTATATTAAAAAGAAAATTCAACCAATGTGGGTGAAATTATAGAGAGGTTGATCATTTGTCTACACCGGGGAGAATTTTATGAATTGAATTTTAAACCTTGTAATATTTTATTTTCTTTAGCTAGAATAATTTTGAGCAACACTAAAAAGTAATATAAGTAATTTAAATTGATCGTGTCGACTTAGTTTCATGTCAGTGTGTAAGTGGAATGATGTAGACGTTTTCTGTGTATTTCTGCTGTTTACACACACAGGAACGGTCCCCAGAATCAGTGACGTCATATGACTAATCGTGCCATGTGGTGGAACTGAATTTGGATATCATCCTCTTTTCTGTTCTTTCACTTAATTTGATCTCGCAGAATTATGGGTAGAAAAAAAGGCAAGGTGAATGGTCGGGAATCAGCCCCAGGTGTGTAAAAAAATATTTGATTTTTATATTTACTTTATTGTTGAAATAATCATTAATTTTAGCGTGTCATCTCCGTGATGATAAACAGATGTTTGTAGATGTTGTGAAATTAGCTTTTTAATTTATGCATGTAGATTCCTTTCCTTGACACAAAAAAATGAGAGTACATACATATTAAAATTAAATTGTAATTTTTTTCCACTTTTTTTCTTATGCATTCCTCATCTGTCACGATAATGTACGTATTTGGATATTGTTCATCAAATATCATCTTAACTTATTGTTGACATATTCTCATTATTTAGTATTTTAACTTTTTTTTTTTCCAAAGTACCTGTTACCAATTTGTCTCAAGAGACAAGAAGTCCTTTCGATACGTTGTTCATTTCCAACTTAGTGACTAAGAAATATTAAATAACATCTTTAGTAAACATCTTTACATTGATTCTAAGATGCCCTTAAACAACACGACAGTTATGCTTTTTAATATTATTGTTTTTTAATGTATATATACGTTTTATTTATGAGCATTGTTGTACTCTCTGTGTAAACTAAAAATGTCGATATGGTTGCTTTGTTCCACGAGTTGTCTTGCTTGAAATAAAAAAAACATTTTTTTTGTCAACAAATCACATTTTAAGATTTTTATTTGATTTCAAAATAGTAAATTCCTATTTTTCTATTTATTTAGTAACAATAAATGTTTATCACTAAACTTTTTTTAGTGACCCCCTCTCCTAAAAATAAAATATTTAATAAAAGTTTCAATGTTTTGTCGTAACTTATGAATTTTCTTAATTTTTGTGACAACATATCAAAGATTTGAATCCATATTCCATCAATCAATACTATTTATTTTATCAAAAATCTTTTCATTTTTTTGTTTTTGATATCTGTGTTTTCTTCCTCTTTTCTTCGCCATCAATAATCTTTTCTTTTTTTTAATAATTTATCAATTGCTGTGAATGAATGTGAAAAAAAAAAGTATTTTTTTTTATTAATGTCAATTTAAAAAGTAAACCAATTATTTTGAAACAAAAATGAATTCATGAAATTATTAATTGCAGAAAATTAAGAAACCAATGACCAATAATACTTCTTTTTTGAAATTTTTTGGAAGTTTACATTACAACTATCCATAAAAAAAATTGAAATTTTATGTAAAATTAAGGCGAAATTTAAATATACAAATAGATGAGTGCCTCCTTAATTTATAAAAAAAATTGAACTGCTTCTGTTCAACTTTCATATTTTGTCAATTTATGACGAAAATAAAAAAAAAAAAAACCCTAGTTGTTTAAAATATTTTATAACCCAGAAAATCTTTTCTCTCTATCTTAAAAAAAATCATAGTATTCAATTTGAATGAAATTTATAAATTCAGGGTTACTCTAATTATTATTTTTTTTCATACAAAGATTCGTGTCCAGTGTCAATGTGATTTTATCTACATTCGGCCATTGCTGGTGTTAAAAAAAACCCTTTGATTTTTGAATTTAAGAACTTGTGCACTTAACGTTTTTAAATTATTCTTGTTCGGTATAATTATTATAATTTTTTCTTGAAATTTAAATATATATTATTGAATTATTGTATAACTCGTATTTTAAATTGTCGATTTTGGATGGTGATGCTTTAAAAAAAAGATGCTGGAGCTTGATAAATGAATTTTCTTTTTGAAAAGCTTCTTTTTTTAAAATTATTTTTAATTTTCATCAAAGGCTGAGTCCAAAATTCGGATACATTTTTTAGATTTAGGAAAGAAAATACGTTTCTGTTGAAAGAAATTCATGTTGAATTATACTCTAAAAATCAATCAATTAAAAATAAAATCCTTTTAGTGGGGGAAATTTAAATAATCATAACGGAATACTTTGATGCACAATAATCAGAACCAATCATAGTAAGAATCATCTTTCTTTGGTGTATGATTGGTTGAAAAAAAATACAAGCCAACCATTAATTAGTTGGTCCTTGTTGCTATTGACTACCTACTTACTCGACCTGAAGAAACTGGCTTTAGCAACGTTACAGGTGGACAGGTGAATAGAAGAAAAAAAGTAAAGTTCTTCTATTCACAAAAAATGACAAAGTTACATTTTTAATCAGTTTTTTTTGTTTGACTCTTTTGAGGATCGTATTAACGTATTAAAAATATTTTACCTAGTTTAAATTTAATAATTAAAATGAAAACTATGATCTCAAAATACAAATAAATAAAGTGACATAATTTTTGGTAGAGTTTGTTTGATATAGCTTATAAATTTTAAAAATTGATTCCTCTATTTTTGTTCATGAAGAAAGCTTAAAAATTTTATCTTAAATTTTTGTGATGTGTTCAGTCAGTGGAATGGGGTCTCAATAAGTCTTATATAGCTTTAATTTTGCAAAAGGCATCATTACTTTTTTTAGTCTAGATTGTCTCATTGTTCAGAACAGTAGCAATTAAAATACCCCCACCATTATTGCTTTTTAAGTAAACACCCCTACCTCACTGTTAAAGAATACCCGCTCGGCCCGGTGGCTAGGATCAAAGTGTAGTATCTGTGCTTTGTGAGCTGCCGAGCCGGGTGTCTCTGTCGAACTCTCTGCTTGCAGAGAGGAACCCAGACGAAGCTCCGCCGAAGGGTGGGGTTTCGTTCGGGAGGTTGACGGAACTAGCCCGCTTGGACGGGTTTAGATGGGTTTTATTTTTTGGCTGGGCCTACGGGCTCGGACATACCCACATTAAAAAGGCCTTGTGCCACATTCAATTCCTGTGGGTGAATTGATAAATACCATCTACACACACACACAAAGATTAAACTTGTTGGAGTTTCGTAATTTTCCTTTGCAAAACTGCATAATTAATAACATAGAAAATAATATTTTATGCAAAAAAAAAAACCTCATAACTTATACGTAGCTTAGTAAGATAATCTTTTTTGTTTTAAAATATATTTCCTGTCATAAAGCACACTTGAAAAAAAAAACAAAAAAAAACACTGCAAATCACCCGGTGTTTGGATTAGGCTAGAACCCTTGATGAACCCAGAATAAAATATATACATATATATATCTGATTATAAATTATTAAATAATGATTATAAATTAAAACATTAAAATAAATTTAAAAAATAAAAATAAGTATGAACGAATCATCAGTTGAATATGATTAATTTTTTAATATTCACAACCAAATTTTGTGTTATCCAAAAAGGAAATCTGGTGTTGGCCAGTATTTTCTATTTAAAATAATTTTTAAGCAGGATCACATTATTATTCTGTAAATTATAGTAAATACTTGGAACTGGCAGTAAGAGATTTCTATGTGTGAAAGTTATATCTGCAAAGAAAATCAGTATTTGAATCCTGGCTTTAATCTGGGCTTGCAAATAGTTGATCTAAGGGAGGGGAATTGTTGATGATTTATATGTTAATTTGTTTTCTTCTTTCTCTCATCCAGTTGGAAATACATTGCCATTTGGACAAGCAGGAAATTTTACATTGGGATCAAATGACAAATATGATGTTCAACAGCTCCTCTCTCAGGTAACTCTAATTTAAGAAAGCAATGATGAAAAGCTAAATATTGCATAAGCCTGACTTGTAGGAATTCCATGGTAGTTGACAACTAGAGATTGTCTATTATCTCGTGCCTTTGCTTCTTGCTCACCTGTATCTGTATTCCACACCTTATTCTTTTTGCCTTCATGTTTTTTTTGGTTTTTGTTTGTTTTCTAAATGTTATACAAATATAAATTATTTTCAAATGTGAAAAAGGGATAAGGAACATACAAATATTTTCTCTTGTGTCTTATTTTTTTTCTTTCACTATTTCTCCCAATAGAGAATTTTAATGTAATTTATACATCTTTCTAACACTGCAGTCCTTTCTGTCTTTTGTTATCCAGACAGATAGCCTCATTTATTTCATCCCTTTCACTTCTTCACACTCTCATAGTGTGTGCGCGTGCGCATACACACACACACACACACACAGAGGAGTGCTGAAAAGTTCTCAACCTGGCCAAGAAAATTCCAAAGAAATTCTGATGTTTAGTCATTTAGTCAAATTTTTGCAAGAGAATTGGGGATTTTTCATTTTTCACTGTGTGTGTATGATAGGATAAGAAACAAATAGAAAATGATTATAAATTTAACTTGTTTTGCTTTTATTAAATCTTTATCAGAGAATGAAATATGGTGGAGAGAAAGAAAATTTATTACCTGTGTGTATATATATATATATATATATATATATATATATATATATATATATATATATATACACACACACATATAGTGATGGAATGATACCAATATTTTTACCGATTCCAATACAATTCCTGATACTGTTCTAAATTTCCAATTCCAATATGATTCCCGATTCTAATTACGATACCTTACAATGATTAAAATTCATTATTTTCAGGCTCTACAGTTCGTTTCGGAAACTTAATGAACAGAGTACATTTATTAATAAAATATTTAGTAGAAAAATGAATACAAAAGCTTGGGAAAGTTGGATATCCTTTTTATTTAAAAAATTGTTTAAGAGTTTAAACAAAGAACAATTTCTTTACATAACGTAAGTACCTAACTACAGTTGACATATTGCTTTACTTTAAAATCTTTGAAAATTTTAAAACTACACTTTCCTGCATGGCATTCAGTACACTTGCCATAATTGGAGTCTGAAAATAAGCATCAGTTAAAATTTAAATTTTTCAGTTAGATAAAAAAAAATGTTTCTAGTTTTCTAATGTATGGAATTTGTAAAGATTCAACTAATAATGGCTTGCTATTGTAAAAAAAAAAAAAAAAAAAAAAATGTGTATTTTTTGTCAATCTTTTAAGATTTAACAAGCAAAGATGCCCTCTAAATATTATGCAATCTCCTTAAAGTTTTATATGTGGCATTTTTCAATGAATGGAACAAATTTAGGGATGACAATTCAATTTCAGTATGCACTTCAAAAATATGAAACACTCTGTGTGTGTGTGTATATATATATATATATATATATATATATATATAATATAATATATATATATATAAATAACAGTAAGATATATAATGTGGTGTTCTTATTGATTTTTTTTTTTTTTTTTTTTTTACAAAACAGTGCTCAATATAAATTTACAGAGCATAAATATTATAAATTAACTGATTGAAAAGTTTTTTTTTTTTTTTTTTTTTTTTCACTACACAGTAATAACCATGTTTCAAAAATGGCAGCTAAAAACTTTAAATTTAATCATATGATTAAATTAAAAGCATTAGTTCCGTTTCATTTTCAGGCGAATATTGGCATAACTTATTTTTAAATTTACTGAGTTTTAAATGCACATATAAATTCATACTTTACTGTTTCCAAGGATACAGAGAAATCCAATCATTCAGGCAGGGGCGGTAGCGTGTTCATTTTTATTAAATATTGTTGTATCAATTATGAGTTAAGTTTAGGGAGGGTAGGGGTGTATTTTCCAATGAATTCTGACATCTGTTAAATGCATGTTTGTTTTTTTTTTTTTTTTTTTTTTATTAACGGCAAAAGGTTTTTTGGCATTTTTTTTTTTTTTTTTTTTTTTCTTGTATACTTGAAGATTCTTTTGAGGTTTATTTGTGTTAGAATACGTTTTATTTAACTAGAATTTTAAAATATTTTTACTCTTAATTACTGAATAGACAATATTTCTTTTTTAAAAACAAGTAAATGTAATAGAATTATTTAGATTATTTAAAATTATTTTTTCATATCAAATATAAGTATATATATATATATATATATATTACCAGCTCACATTTTTTTAATTTTATTTTTAGATATTATTTAAGGAAAATTTTTGACAATGATGGCAAAAAATAGCTATTTGATTTCTCTGATTTAGTAAATTTTTATTTTTTATAAACTTAGTAATATATAGTTTCTCATGTATGCACAAAGGACATGGGTCATTTAATGACCTACATATTCTAGCTTTTCTTATTAATTTCCATTTCACTGTAGGTGTTTTATTTGATTCTTTTAAGTGCCAGAAATACTTTGAAAGTGATGTCTGATTTCTGTATTTATTTATCCTAAATGAAGTTTGGTGTTGATTGAATTGCTTTTTGAATTCGTGGCTTGTGCGATCTATATAGATTTTTATATTTTCAGGATTCTCAATAGATGAGATATTGCATTGGTATACTAATGATTCCGTGCGACATTTATTTTGTAGAGGACAGTTATGAGGGTTTCTACAGTTACATAGTTTTTGTTTATCTTCATCTGTTTTTATTTTTATATTGTCTAAATTTCTTTGGTTTTTGTCTAAGTGTTTATTGAAGATATTAGCATTATGTTTCTTAATAATTTTTTCTAAGTTTTCAGTACATCTGTAACTTAATTTTAGTGTATTTTTATTGAAAATAGTACTTAGTTTACTTTCTCTAGGAAAGTGCTTAACTATTAATGCAAGGAATTTTTGTCCTAATTTGTTCTTTACCATTTGGTTGTATGGGTATGTATACCAAATTATTTTTCTACTTCTGATCTTTCTATGCTTTTCATTTTCCTTTTTTATATAAGTTAGTTTTGGGTTTTTGTACGCTTTATTATAGAAATTAATATGTTCATAGAAAATCTCTTTTGTTAATCTAACTAATTAATAATACATATCAAGTGTCCATGTTTGATTGTCAGTAGTTTTAAAGAAGTTAAGTGAATTATTCACTGAATTCTCAAATAGTGAAAGGATAGCAATATGTTACTTATAAAACATGTCAAATCACAATTATTCAAATCAGGTTTACTAATATTTAGATAAAACTGAAGGGAGCAAGCTATAACAAGAACAACTATTTTCGGTAGGTACAGCGGCATAAAAAGGAGTCATTCACCTGTCAGATAATGGAAAGTGGTGCTGTTTTCAGCCTTTTGATGTATTTGGGTAGCCAAGTGTTGCTTTCATTCAATGTGCAGACACACATATAACAAGTTGTTAGCATTTGGCAGTCCTTTATATAACGGATAGCAGAAAGTGATGAAATACGTTTATCAAAAGTTCTTACTTAAAAATGTAAACCCTGAAAGACTTTATGATGACTTTTTCCACAATTGTTTAAGTGTTAAAGATCTATCATATTCATTTCATAGACTATAATAATGTATGGGTTGGCCAAAATGTTTGTTCAGTAGAAATAGATGGCCGTTCTTTGTTGTGGTGGAGGTCTTGTGTGTCCCGGTGATTCCAAGAGCAAAACCATTTGGTGTTCCTATGGCAAGGAAGAGAGACCAGACTGAGCACAACCAACCCCCAAAGACCTCAGGCGAAATAGGCAAAGAAAATCTACATGATCTCAATGCCCAAACCAGTAAAAGAGGGCAGATGTAACCAAGGCAAAGCTTGACTGATCAAGCATCTGGCAGCCAGATTTGCAAGATCTCGCCTGTCTCAATCCCCTTTGGAACACTAGGGAGGCGCTACCTGTTGCTTAGCTCTGGGGGACCAGTGTCGCAAATTCTATGTAACTAACTTTGTTGATAAAGTTCTTTTAGAGGACAAAACACGCTGCACAGAATTTTTTCATATAATAGTAATAAAACTTCAGACTTGTAAAAAGATGTGAACTTATAATCAGGTTTTACGTTGAACAAAGCTATTAAAAAGTGAATGCGGGTATTAATAAGAGTTTTAAATGTTTTCTTTGTTTTAGGCTGAAAAATGCATTGATCAGTTTCAGTTTGAACTTGCTCATAAGTTCTGTCAACGAGCTTTGGAAAGAGAAGCAGACAACCTAAAAGCCCTGGAAACAAGCGGGCATGTAATGATGGAACTGAAACAGCATGAAGCAGGCAAACAGGTCAGAATATCTTCAGTTGAGAAAAAAAATTTCTTCAATTTGAAGCATTTATCTGTTGTGCAATCTCATTTAATCTTCTTTTTTTTTTCTCTTTTATCTCATTCTTTTTTTTTCTTTTTTTTTTCATTTTCTTTACTTCTTTTTTCATTTTTCTCTTTTTTTATCTCATTCCTTTCTTTTTCATTTTCTCTTTTCATTTCTCTTCCTTTCCATAAATTATCTTCCATTGTTATCACAATTTATTTTCTGTCAGTCAGTTCTTGAAGACACTGGCTTCTATTATGAAACTATTTTAATGGTGGGTCTACTTCTGATACTTTTTGACACTGTCAAAAGAGATGGGTACTGGTCATTTAAGCATTCCATACTGCATTTAATAGAAGACAACAATCTTACTTCCCCCTCCTGAGGCCAATGAACTGGTGATTGGTGGTGGGGGTTGCTATGCTGATGACATAGGTATTCATAGTTGGGATAAGTGTGATCTTCAACAAAAAAATTCAACATTCACAACTGAGTATTCCAAGAAATAAGACTTAAGATTCAAAACGGAAATTATGTTCAGGAATTGGAATGAAAGTAGTGATGGCACTGATACCCTGAATCCAGGATATGCATTTAGCAATAAAAATTTTGTCAGCATTAAATGACCTATTGAGGTTGATATGCCATAAAACAAAACAAAATAGACCAAATGACAAAGAACTGTACCAAATAACAGAAACCACATCACTTGAGGACTACCAAGAGCAGCAACAACTAAAATGAATAGTACATGTAACTTGAAGAGAAAATAATGATATAATCAAGATGTCAGCATTCCACAGTACTTCAAAGAAAAGTATAAGAAAGATTTCCTTATCAATACTAGAAAGTTAAGAAATCTTGAGAAATTGTTTTAAAAAAAAGATTTTTATAAATTTCAACCAAAAGTAGCAATGGCCTCTTGCTCAATGAACACCAGATGTTTCCTTATAAGGAAATAGCAACTATTCCCATTGCCATTATAATTGTGCCAAGTTCTTAAGTCGTCATATGTTACAGTTTTTATTTCATGAAAGTAAAATTTAGCCAATACTTTCAAGAATACCTGTGGAATGATGAAGCTGATAATTTGAAACTGTTTTCAGGAATCTACTAAATTTACAGGGTGTCCATAAATTATTTTTACAGGATACACATTGCAGTTTCTCTTTTGTGTTGTCATTTTTATTAAAAATCTGGGATCAATAATAAGCACTTTTAAAATCTACCTGAAAAGACAAAAGTGAATTAAAAAAGGACAGACTATATATAAATTAAGACTTTAATGATATTTCTTTTACATGCAAAGAAATGTATTGGTGGAGCTGCACTCTAATGGATGCTGCACTAAACTGAGGAAGCTATAGAGATAATTGCACAAAGCATAATGTGTATTCTGACACCTCCCCCCCAGTATTTTTAACAGGGTACTTCCCTTCTTTCATGCTTTCTAGTGCAAACCTCAGTGGGGTAAACCAGTACAATCATAGCAGTTCACAGATATTAAAGTGGAAGAAGCTGTGAAGAGCTGTGTTCGCTCATGATAGGAAAAAGGGTTTTACTTTAAAAAAGAAAGAGAAATCCTCTTATGAAATGGGGTGGGGAACATTGTAAACAACTTTATTAGAAATCGGTTAGAAATAGATTGTCAGTGGTCAGGAATTAATGACAGAATGAAATTTGAAATTGGCAAGAGAGATATTTTGATTGAATAGATGAATTTGTAGCTTGTCTTAATGGCTATACCAGGCCAATTGCAGAAGCATGTATTTGTATTGGGTTGGTACATAATTATCAGATGTTTTTTAAACAAAATTTATTATGAAAAAAGAAACATAACAATTCAACAAAAACATTTTTAAATGATTTTTCCAGAGCGTATGATTATTGACATGTATTTTTATAAGCTGAAAATAAAATAATATTTTTATTTAAAAAAAAAAAAAAGTAAACAGCAATTTTTATTAACAAATAATTCACCTACAAAAACGCCTGATAATTATGCACCAATCCAATATTTATAAACGGAATGGTCACTGGTTTCATTCATTCCAGTGCATTGCTGTAATCCTCCAAGAGATGGTTGCACAAACTTGAAGTACAAATAGAAAAGCAAAAAAATAGTTTATTGGGGTTCTTTCTGCCTGTTTGGTATCAACCAATGGGGTCAGTAGAAACAAAAAAAAAATTCCATGTACCAACACTAAGTTCAATCGCAAATCTGTTGTAAACAATCCAACAGGCAGCATAGTAATAAAAAAAACAGTGCAGAAATCCAACCTTGCCCTTGCAACAGCGGAAACACACTCTTGCTCACCAACCTCAGAAATCGTTCTCATGCTGGTAAGCAAAAAAGCAATGGCCTTTATTCACCAAGCAATATTTCTGATTAGCCATGCCACTCGGGGAGAAAAGAACATTAGCATAGTTTTTCTGATGCTTAAAGTAGCAGGTTTTTGCTATTTTTTTTGATTTTCCTTCAGCAGACCACGCGCAAAACACAAACTCTTTTTTCAAGATATGTGATTTTTTCTCTTTCGTTACACTGCCATTTTACAGGCCAAATTTTGTTGGTAATTAGAATTTGTTGCTTTGTATTTCTTCCTTTCTATAAATGTTGATTTTGTTTCTTTCCTTAGTTTTTTATGAAAGCTGTGGAATTACAACCAGACATTGGCCATGCCAAATATATGTATTTAGGACAAATGAATCAGGGAGAAGCTTCGATTAAATATTTCCAAAAGGGAATTGAAGTCATGTTAAAAGAAAAGGAAATCGCTAATCAGGTAATTTTTTTTTTTTTTAATGGAAATTCTTAAAATGAGTCCCAAATATTATTTACAAAACAAACACTTCAGATATTAAAATCACATTCCTCTGTGTGTCTGTTACACCCTGCCATTACCTTAAATAAATGATGAACCATTCCATTTTGATTATATGGAAAGATAGAAAGAAAAGTTATATCAGAGATGCTGTTTATAGTGAGAAAAACAAAGCCTACATCATAAGGAAGAAAGTCAAAATAGTGGAAATGATGATGTTATCTGATGCTTTAGTGAAATAGAAAACCTTATCAATTTTTAATCTTTACATTTGTACCCTCTTACTTCTTTAAATAATGACCTACATTCATCCTCATGATTGTTATTTCAATATTTTGTTAAAATTCTTCAGCCCAACTATTTAACAATATAATGGTAATTTCTATGTGTACTTTGTAGTCATGAAAATCACAAGAAACATATTCCGTTATTAAATTAAGAATTATGGTGTGAAATTTTCATGGGTACTTCTAGTATTTAAATAAAGTGAAGATTTTAATTTCATTCCTGTTTAAAGTTTGGAATGATTTTATATTTACAATTGCAACAATAATTTCACACTCAAGAAATTCTTTGAATTATCGTAAAAATAAACTCTTTATTTTCCACATGAATATCCAACATTGTCAAAACACTCAAATTTATTTTTAACCAATGCATTTTCAGCTCTTGTCTGTACCTAAGTGATTTCAAATTTGAAATGGGATGCTTTTTAATATCAGCTTTTTTAAGGCAAGAAAAACTATGTAGTTTTGAACTTTGTGTTTGTATAGTTTACTAACGTGAATTATAAGCCAATATATGCTTCTTGCTTCAAATTCCTTATGCTCCATATCAATTATCATAATTCATGCTAATAACATCAAAGAGATTCTGACGAAGTGGTTGAGATGCATGTGATCTACAATCATGGATGTTATTGCATTCATTTAGTATGCAAGTAAATAAGAGTTTTTTATGTAGGAATATAAAGGGTTTTATTGTAAGTTTGGTAATTCAGATGCATTTTAAATTCTTAAATCAAGGTGAAAATTTTTCTATGATACCTGGTTGAAAAAAAAATCCTAATCCAGCTTCTACATTCTTTTGGTTGGGCTGAATAGTTTTTTTAATAAGATGTCAATTTATTGCTTTGGTTCTTATCTGATCACGGAAGAAACATCAAGCCTAATGAGTACCTATATGAATAGATACCATGGCTTTAAGTTTTCATGTGCGGATGGTGTAATGGATAACAGCTCGGAATTTGAGATCAGAGTTGAGTTCCAATTCCAGTTGGCTTTGTTATATTCACTTATGAACAAATACCCTTGGAGAAGGTATGGATCTACCACTTCTCTCCCCAGCTATGGGTTAATTAGTAAGACTTGTTTCACTAAAACTATTATTATCTCCAAAAAAATCTTGCAATCTAAAATTATTTTCTAGCTTTAAATAACATGCAAAAGGTTGATAAGCCATAAAAAACTAATCAATTAAGAATCAATTTCTCTCTTGTGCATATTTACAAAGTTCCTATAAAATAGGCATTTATTTCTTTTTGTAGCTATCTACTAAATCCACAGAAGCAAGTGCATCTGAGACTGCAGAGTATTTTGCATCTGATCGAGATATCTCCTCAGCTTATTGTGCCATTGCAGAAATTTACATGACAGATTTATGGTAAGTTCCAGATTTTATACAGAAAAGTTTAAGTCTTAGGATTTTCTTGAAGCTTTCCTTCTTCTTTTTTTTTTTTCTCCTCTCAATAACATCTGAATTTTGTGTAGGTGTATATATGTGTACACACAAAATATAAATTGTTTAAATTTTTTATTATAAGAAAGTCAGTATCTGTCTATATTTCTGAGATAAGGTATTATGTACACTATTTACATTATTCAGACTATTGTCCTCATCTTTGTCGCCATGTTTATCACAACGTTTCAGCCATTGTACACTCCGGCCTTCTTCAGGTGGTTGGAATGTCGAACTGAACCCTTTATTTCGCTCACTTGGGTAGACTGTTCTAGTTCCACATGTCAGAAGAAAGCAATAATAACAACAAAATTGCAATGTGAGCTCTGGTAAATAACATGCAATGGTAAGAGTAAAAATTGCAATATGAGCACTGGTAAAAAAAATTGTTGCTGAAGACATTAGGTTTATAATACCCAGAAATTCATACACATGGCACAGTGGATAAAGGCGTTAGATCGAGTGACAGGACCCAAAGAGTGTGAGTTCAATGCCTGGTTAAGACAGTGGAGAACTTTCAGAATTAACAGGAGATAACTGACATCCATTAGACATGGCACGTGGAACTAGTCTACCCCAGTTTGACATTCCAACCACCTGAAACGTGATAAATATGGTGACAAAGATGAGGACAATAATGCAAATAGTGTATAAATGTAAAAAATGTTTGTAATGACAAGTTGATAGACTGCTTTACCGAGTTATAATGGTTTGTACTGAGTTCGATGGTTTGTAAATAGCTGGGAGAAGTGGAGTCATGCCAAAGCTCATCAACTCAAATTCAATGCAAATATTCTCCGCCAGAGTTTGAACTTTGTTTGCCAATTCTTACAGCCTTTTAACTATTAGACCAACTTTCTTCCAATAGATATTAAAATTTGCTAAATTGGTTCTTGTCCTTTTGTAGTGTGTAATTTTTTTTTTTTTTCACTGCATCTTAGGCCAAATTTCTACTTGGTTGCAAATATATATAAATATATATATATATATATATATATATATAAAAGTGGACTTAAAATCAACACCTAGAGGCAAGTCTGTTTCATGCTAAATGCACATTGCCTGACGATTTGAGTATGAAGCAGACTGTCCCCACTGGATGTTGACTTCAATGTCCACTTTTATATTTACATATGCTCTATCCATGATATTGAGCATTTTCACTCATAAATTTAGCCTACCTTAAAACTATATTATATATGATACTCAAACGCAATCATCAGGCCATATGCATTGTGTTACTTAATGCACATCATGGCCTGATGATTACGTTTAAACATGAAACAGACTCTCGCCAATGTGTGTTTACAGTGTTAGTACAGCTTCTGGAAAAAAATTGCAATAGCCAAAAAGCTCCTTGAAAATTCCTGGAATTTTCTAAATTGAGCTTCCCACACATCCCTTTTCTCAATTCCTGAAAGTCGAAATGCCAAATCCCAGAAACCTTTTTTTTTTTTTTTTTTTTTTTTTTACAACCTAAAAATTATCCTTCAAAAATTTTTTTTTTTTTTTAGTTGTCATTAATATTTAACAATTATTGCAAACAGTGGTTTGTTTCCTTGATTAGAATGAGTTCTTCTGTATTTTCTCATTTTGATGGCAAGAAAGGGAGAAAGAATATGAAGTTGTGTCTTCTAGTTGCTACCCTAACTCAACAAGAGGAAAAGCAAAGATGAAAAGGCGTCACAGATACGTCAACATTATTTTCTCATTTTGATGACAAGAAAGGAGAAAGAATATGAAGTCATGTCTTCTAGTTGCTACCCTAACTCAACAAGAAAGAGGAAAAGCAAAGATGAAAGGCGTCACAGATACGTCAACATTATTTTCTCATTTTGATGACAAGAAAGGGAGAAAGAATATGAAGTCATGTCTTCTAGTTGCTACCCTAACTCAACAAGAGGAAAAGCAAAGATGAAAGGCGTCACAGATACGTCAACATTATTTTCTCATTTTGATGACAAGAAAGGGAGAAAGAATATGAAGTCATGTCTTCTAGTTGCTACCCTAACTCAACAAGAAAAGAGGAAAAGCAAAGATGAAAGGCGTCACAGATACGTCAACATTATTTTCTCATTTTGATGACAAGAAAGGGAGAAAGAATATGAAGTCGTGTCTTCTAGTTGCTACCCTAACTCAACAAGAAAAGAGGAAAAGCAAAGATGAAAGGCGTCACAGATACGTCAACATTATTTTCTCATTTTGATGACAAGAAAGGGAGAAAGGATATGAAGTCGTGACTTCTAGTTGCTACCCTAACTCAACAAGAAAAGAGGAAAAGCAAAGATGAAAGGCGTCACAGATACGTCAACATTATTTTCTCATTTTGATGACAAGAAAGGGAGAAAGGATATGAAGTCATGTCTTCTAGCTGCTACCCTCACTCAGCAAGAAAAGAGGAAAAGCAAAGATAAAAGGTGTCATAGACAAATAAACATCTCTGTCAAAGATAAATTAATTCACACTCATTGAATTTGTACTTGAAAAGAAAATAATAAATTATTTCAGTGATAAAAAGAAATTACCAGCAATACATTTGACTCTCGACAAAAACCCTCTTTATAAAAATACATCAATGAAACCTGATCTACAAACTAATTTCTTAACAAAAGAAGACATATTCTGTTCATACAAACCTATCATAAAAATCTTGTCAGCGTTAAATAATCCATTGAGATGTTGATATGACATAAAACAAACACGACCAAACCATAATCATGTGGAAAGGCAAAATGATATTTGGATTATCAGTACTAAAAAGCTATAATGGAGAAAAAAATTCACATAATTTGCATCAGTGTCTTTGGGAAAGGCATGAACCCACTTCTACTTGAACGACAGTCATCAGATATCTTGATAGTGTTTCATTACTCACTAAAATCATTAAATGAGCAAGCCAATCTCTCTTTCATGACAATATTACCTACCTAGGTGGTTGGTGCTAAATGCTGTTATACTTATTGTCAGCCCTGACAGGGTTCAATTTATGTGCATAAATACATGTGTAACAACAACAAATATTTTTCAACATGATCTCCTTCATTGTCAATGCACTTAACCAACTTCACTCCAGAAATCACATAGATCATTATACAATGAGAATTTATAATCAAAATTCAACTTATGTTAATAGCAGGTTCACCCTTGCATATAAAATTAAATCTGTTGAAAGAATGTGTGTTTGCCATGTTTATATATTTTATTTTAATCTGTTTGCAGCTTGGAGGATGGTGCAGCAGACAAATGTCAAGAGAATGTGGAAAAAGCAATTACTGCCGATTCTTTGAATCCTGAGGCTTACCAGTTGAAGGCACAGTTCCTCATGAATATCGAGAAAGTTCAAGTAAGTCTCTTGGAGACAGCAAATGTTTTTACCCATCATTTTCAATGAGCGATGTACGGGTTTACATAAAGTGAGAAAGGGTTGTAAATGTGTTAAATCATCAGATTTTTCCTGACACCGAGAATAAGAGATCTTAGTACAAAAAATGACTAGTGCAAGAAGTAGTCATAAAGGCAATGAGCAGTGACCAATGTAAAAAATGCCTATATATCTACCTGTCATCTGGTTTGTCCCACATTTGCACATGTTAAGTGCAGCTGGGTTGACCACCTGTTTACTGCTCATAGGCAGCCACTGACATATAGGAAAGAGCTATAGCCTCTAACTACCCAGTATTTGTCATAGTGTGTAAAAGTTTTTCTTTATTAAATCCTACCTATGATATAATATTGCATATGTTAATATTTCATCCTCTGTTAATATCATTGGGTATTGCAACACTCACAAAATTTTTATCCTTGACACTTAGTGACAAGTCAATTTTTCATAATTAGTCGAGCAGATTTCCTAGTAACTGGTAACTTCCATGTTTCTGGATTGTCATATTGGTGTAAATTACGAGCAGTTTTATTTGTTTACTGAAAATAAAATGAAAACTGTTTTTTGCATATTTTATTTTTTGGAAATTCATTCTTTAATTCTATTTTTAAAAATAAAACATATTGTTTTTCCTTTTATCCTATAAAAACCAGAAAGAATGTTTGACAATATATAACAAAAAAAAAAAAAATGAAGGCCTTAATTATTGAAAACTCAACAATACTAATGTTATAATCCTGCCCCATACTCTTAATGGAGGGCTTATATAAATAATTACATTTTTTCCCCTCAACCAGGAAGCCAAAGAAATGATTGAGAAAAGTGTTTCCCTCTGGTTACCTCAACTACAAGAGAATGATGATGATGTCCCTGAGGTAAGGGAAAATAGAAGACAAGATTTTTCAAAATGTTCTTTTTTTCATTTTTGTATTGAATAATGGCAATTATATTCTCTGCTGAAAGTGATTAATGGTCATTTTATGAAATTCTTATTAGAAATGACTTTTTACATTATCCAAGTAATGGGAAAATTGGTTTCCAAATTTATTTACTTTTTTTGTTACTTCTGCAGCTTCAAACTGAAAAATCTTATATAGTGAATATGATGTCATTTAAGAGGGCACTAAAGAAGTTCTCAGCCAACCAAAAATATAAATGTAAATGCTGTTGTAACACAATCTTTGTTTATATATATATATATATATATATATATATATATATATGTGTGTATATTTGGGCAGCAATTTTTCATTGATGCATGATTCATTAAATAATATAGACAAGTTTTGTCTATTTATTTTAAGTAAGTTCCTTTCATATTGTCTGTTAAGCTTAATTACCTTATTGTTGAAGGATGAAAGGAAATCACCATATTGATACATGTTTAAATCCAATCTAAGCTTATGTGTTTGTGAGGTTAAAAGTATAGTTTTAAAGTATACTATATATATGGGTAAAAGTGGTCAGTATCTTAAACAGCATTTGTAAATATGAACATGGTGACAGTCTGCTTGAATGCAATCTTCAGGCCTGAAGCATGAATTAAATATGCTCTTGCCATTCACTGTTGATCTCAGTGCCCAGTTATATATATATATATATATATATATATATTTACTTTAAGACATGAAAATTTCTCAGACATTCAGGCCGGTAAATGTCATTAATACTGTTTATTATAACAGAGCATTTACTTAAATATTTGTATCTATGAAAAGAACGTATAAAAAAAAAAATGTATCTGTCTATATTTCTGAGATGAGGTATTATGTATATTATTTACATTATTCGGACTATTGTCCTCATCCTTGTCACCATATTTATTACAACGTTTCGGCTGTTGTACGCTCTGGCCTTCTTCAGGTGGTTGGAATGTCGAACTTAACCCTTTATTTCGCTCACTGGGGTAGACTGTTCTAGTTCCACGTGCCATGTTTAATGGATATCAGTTATCTCCTCTTAATTTCCCTCTGAAAGTTCTCCACTGCCTTAACCAGGTATTGAACTCACACTCTTTGGGTCCTGTCACTGGGTCTAACCAATGCCTTTATCCACTGTGCCATTTGTCCTTGAAATGAAGGGTTAAGTTTTAAAGAATTGATGGAAGTTATGAATATATTTGAGAACTTTACCGCAAGGGAGGTAACTTAATTTATGTGAATTCTTATTAAAAAATTGTAATTGGGTGTTCTAAAATATTGTTTTAAAATATCTAAATTGTACATTATTTACATTATTCGGACTATTGTCCTCATCTTTGTCACCATATTTATCACAATGTTTCGGCCATTGTATGCTACGGCCTTCTTCAGGTGGTTGGAATGTCGAACTGAACCCTTTATTTCGATCTAAATTGTAATTGTTAAAAACTACAATTAATGACAGTGTTTTAAAACATGCAATTACTTGGCAGGGACATGACAGATGCAATTTTTTGTTGTCCGGAAGCTGTTGAAGAAATACCTGGCAGTGGACAGGTGACTCTTCATAGCTTTTTTTGATTTTGAAAAGGAACTTGACCATATCTGTTGGAAATTTATCTGGTGTACAATGAGAAAACTTGGTGTGGATGAGTGGATTGTGCAACTGGTTAGGAGTGTGTATGCTGATGCTTAGAGCCACATCTGTGTCAGTAAGGGCTACAGTCAGGATATTCAGATGAAGGTTGGTGTCCATCAGGACTCTATACTCAGTCTTATACTCAGAAAAATAATATCGCCCAAATGTCCACCAAGGCTCCAGCAACACACCTCCACTCAATGGTTAAAATTTTTGATGATGTCTCAGCATAGTTGCTCATCAATCTCACCAATATGTCTTATCTCATCCTTCAGCCATTGAATTGTTGTTAGCTTGTTGGCATAGAGCTTACTTTTGAGGTGACCCCAAAGGAAGAAATCTAAATGCATCAAGTTGCACAATCGTGGTGGTCAATTGACTTCGCTGTTTCAAGAGATGATGCAAACTGGGAACTTCTCATTGCATTTCTGTTTGAACGTCCATTTTCATAATAGGGTTCAATAACTTTAACATGTTATTTGATTGTTAATCTTTCCATGGTTGAAATTGCCAAAGAATTAAATTGTTAAATCTGAAAGAAAAAGAAAAAATCATTAGGCACTTAAACTTAATTGGTCCAAGTCATTGGAACATCCTTTATATAGCAATGAACAAATCGAAAATATAACTTTAGCCTGTTTTACTTTTATTTTAGCTTCATGTGAAATATTTTGGTGATTGAATTATGTTAGAGAAAGCTTTCGTATTTCAAATTCTGTGCTGTTTGCTTTCATTGGTCAGGTAGATATCATCTTATGGCATTAGTGAGCATGTGTTTGAATTCTAGTGAGTGTTTTTTTCTGTTGTGTGTATGTGTTTAATTCTGGAAGACAGTAATGAGAAGAAATGGATGTGAAGTGGCTGCTAATGGTGTTGACTGAATTAAATTTACATTATTAATTTTAAGTTTTATTGTTGAGGGAAAATCATCTGTATCAGGAAATGTAGTGATGGAGATACAGCAGTGTGTTTGTTAAAATTACATTATTATATAACTGTTTGAGTGTATTGGAAGATCTTTGCTACGTTGTGTGTGTGTGTGTGTGTGTGTGTATATATATATATATATATATATATATATATATATATATATATATATATATATATATATATATTTTTGTATTTAGGCAGCAAATTCTCTTTTAGACATGTCTGATTAACATGTCTGTCCTCATCTTTGTCGCCATATTTATCACAACGTTTCAGCCTTCTTCAGGTGGTTGGAATTTCGAACTGAACCCTTTATTTCGCTCACTGGGGTAGAGTGTTCTAGTTCCACATGCCATGTTTGATGGATGTCAGTTATCAGTTATCTCCTGCTAATTTCCCTCTGAAAGTTCTCTACTGCCTTAACCGGGTATTGAACTCACACTCTTTGGGTCCTGTCACTGGATCTAACCAACGCCTTTATCCACTGTGCCATGTGTCCTCTGGGTATTATAAACCTAATGTCTTCAGCAACCATTTTTACCAGTGCTCATATTGCAATTTTGCTGTTATCATTACATAATTTTACCAGAGCTCATATTGCAACTTTGTTATCATTGCTTTTCTCTGGCACTCCTTATTACTGGTTCCCATATTGTATTTATTTCTATGCTTGGTCGGCTCAGGAGATTTTTGTAGCCTAGCATATGTGCTGATTCCTTAAGTTTACAAATTTTCCAATGGTGTTCCTTGTCTATGATCTCAACATGATCCCACAGAGGGCAGTGATCTCCCTTCTCTCTCCATATGTGGTCAGCCACGCCTGATTTTTCTACTTCCCCTCGTGTTACAGCTTTCTGGTGTTCTTGAAGCCTTACCTTGAGGGGGCAGCCTGTCTCTCCTTTATATTCCTTTCCACAGCTGCATGGGATAGCGTACACACAGTCTTTAGTCATGTTCTCCTCTATGGGGGGGTCTCACTCGAGAGAAATATCTGAAGTGTCATCAAGCTTTTGACCCCCCCCCCCCAATTTTAGGATATTACATCGAAAACATGCCAAAATTGCTACACAATTGCAGTCGTTTCGATGCATGTCAGTGCATCTCATCAGGCGAGTGTTAATTACTGGCAAGTGAACAATTTACTTAGATTTAAAAGCAAAATACAACTTCTTTTTACGAAAAAAATGGGGTTATAAGTCTTGTGGGCAAACAATCAAATATGATCTACGTTAAATTTAAAGTAAGAAGCAAAAATGAAAAAAAAAATTTTCCGTAAAAATGGGTCATGACAATACCAATATATGTCTTCTTGTTGGTTGGAATAGCTATTCGAATGAGGTAAATTTGGATTTCTATTTTGTGTGTGTGTGTGTGTGTGTGTGTGTGTGTGTGTGTGTGTGTGTGTGTGAGAGAGAGAAATTACTGGGTACTTTTTTTTTTTTTTAGTTATCTCCCTTGATCTGCAAAATATTTTAAAATGGTTTCTGGGCTTCAAATTCTTGTCTGATTGGCAGGAATTTTCAACATTGCAGCTTTGTGGTTCATTTATGGGCAATGGAAATTTCTGCCACAGTTGATGGTCTTATTCTTACTTTTCTGAAAAAAGTATTTGTAAATTTGATATTTTTTCAATATTGTATCTCTCCAACATTGAAGAAATTTTCCATGAAATCTGTTATATTTGAGCATTTTACCATAAGTGGAAATGGAGAAATAGTTGTCAGTGTTTGACAGAAGGCTCTCAGATGTTTTTACTTAATATACATTTGCTGTGGGGCTTATGACTAGCAGGCTTACCTAGCAAATTATTACTACTGTAGTTTGAGCCTTGATGGTTGAAGCTTCAACCAGCAAGGCGCAATAAAAAGTGTCTCGGTGAATCAATAAAATCTGTCTAATCTTTTACATACCTAGGAAGTGAGATAAATTCTACTGCAAAGGATGTGAAAATTTGTATAGCTAAAGCTTGGGCCATCTTAAATAAAATGGATGTAATCTGATCTACCAGACAATCCCAGGTGGAGATTCTTTCATGCTACTGTAGAGTCGGTTTTAATGTATGGTGCCACTGCTTGGACATTAACTAAAATCCTTGTGTGTAAGTGTGATGGAACCTACACTTGAATGCTGAGAGCTATAATTAACATCTGCTGGAGACAACATCCAACTAAATCACATTTCTATGGACCCATCCCTGATATTTCTATAATCTTATGTAAATGCACTTTACAAGACACTGCTGGCAAGCAAAGCAAGAACTAGCAAGTGATCTATGCTCTGGACGCCTAGCCATGGTGCAAGACTGATTGGTCGCCCAACAATCTCCTACATTGACCGACTATGTTATGACACAAAATGCCACACACTAATAACATTCTGACCTTGATGCAGGACTGTGATGGCTGGCGTAATAGATTCAGGAATGTCCAAGCTAGCTTGATTGAATAAAGTATAAAAAGTAAACTTGTATGATTTCATTTGATCTTATCTGAAAGCTGTTAGTAATGGCAAATCCCAACTCTCAATCTTAGATTTTTTTTTTTTTTTTTTTTAAACCTGGTCATCCTTTGATCATAAGTTTTAGAAGAAGAATTGGATAAAATTCAGGGTTTTATTCAATCTTACTAAGATTATCCAATGTCCAATCCTTACTGATGATGTTTCTGAATTTCATTTATAATTTTTTTTTTTTTTTTATCATTTTTGAATTGTTAATTTTCTTCATTAATGCCTAAACAATTTTTTTTTTATTTTTTTTTTATCAGCAATTTTTAAGTTATTCATTGCCTCAAACCTCCCAAAAGTGTTTCTCTGCACTGACAGCAGTGTTGCTGTGTTATATTTACCATTTATGAAAAATTTAAGTTTAATATTTTATATACTGTTCCATGGTGTCTGTTTCTCTCTTTCTCTCTCAACTAATTTTGGTTTGGATATGCTGGTAGTATAGTGGTTATCAAAAAGTTCAATTTGCAAGCTGGAATTCCCACCTATCTTAGTGCATTCATTTTCACACAAATGCCCTTACAGAAAAACATGAATTCATTCTCTCTCATCCTGAGGAGTGAAGGGTCACACAACCTCACCAACACTGGGCATTACTGCTGTAGGTTTTCATGGGATGGTGTTGCTAGCCCCATGATCCATCAATTTTGAATTCAGTCCTCCTTTTCCTAGACTGGTTGCAAATCAAGGCTGAATACCACAGTCTACCCTATTTAACCTATAGCTGGGGGTGTGGTAGATGGATTCATACCCTTCCCCAGGGCTACTTGCACAAAAGTGAATTCAAATGAAATTCAAACTTGCCCCACTAATTTCTGGTTCTGAACTGCTAACCATTGCACCACTTGCAAATCCTCTTCCCCCTCTAGCTATGGGTTAAATACCAGGTCAAACCAGGATCTTCAGTCTAGGAGGGAGAGGAAAACTCTGAATTCAAAACTATGGAGAAGGTAGTAGAAAACAATAAGTCATGGTAATTCACTGATTATTTTTAAAAGAAAAGAAAAAAGGATTATGTGGAGAGCCATGTTTACCTATGTTCTGAAAAGGCCAAAAAGTCATGGTAATTCATTGATGATAAAAAAGGGGATTCTGTAGAGAGTCATGATTCTATTGCACCATTCTTCTAAGTGGGGTGGTACTACTTGCCTTAAAAATCAGCATTTGAATTCTAGCTGTTTTCCTCATCTCAAACACTAACCTCTGTTGGCCACAAAAGGTCACCCAATTTCTTTTAAATTTCTTTTTCTCTCTTTCAGAACATGCCCGGAGTAAGTTATGATACAAGAATAGTCACATCTAAAATATTGATTGAATTAGAACTCTATGAGGTGAGTAATTTTATTTTTCACTAATTTACAGAGCAAACCTTTCATACCATCTTTGTGTAACATGTCCTTAGATTATCATGTATAAATACAAGTAGGTAATAACATGTTTCTCTAAATGAGACATCAACATTGGTGTATTATTTGTAAAATCCGATTAATTTTATTTTGTGACAGAAAATTTTCAACTCAGATATCCTGAATAGAAAAATCATATCAGGTTGAAATAAGTGGATCGGTTTTTTTTTTTTTTTTTTAAATAAATGATACAAAATCCTCCTTAAAAATCATTTTTATATTCATTATTTTTTGTTCAATTGAGCAACTGAATTAACAAAAAATAGTGCAGATTAAAACAATGGCAATGATGAAGAAAGAAAAACTAGAAATGCAAGTGGCCTGATGGTTATCAGCACAAAAAATGGAATCAACAACCAAAGTTCAAACTCTGAATGAGGCATCTTATGTTCAGTTCCCACTAATGCCATTTAGACAGATCTGAATCCATCTTTTCCACAGTTAAAAGTTAAATAGAAAGGTAGACTGGATTCTCTAGCTTTGATATGACGACCAGACTAGAACGATAATTCTGAATTCAAAACTGTAAAAAAGAGTGGTGAGAACTACTTGCTTACCTTTCCCTAGAAACTATCATTGCAATGCACATCTTACAGATACTAAAGAAAAAGGAAGCTGTGGTGAGGCATGATTCCTTATGTTCTAAAGGAAAATAACATTTCAGAAAGAAGGAATGATAAATTGTAAATAATCTTTTCTTTTTTTCTTATTTCAGATGGCCAATGAAGTTCTTTTTACTTTGCTGGATGAAACAGATGAAGACCCACAAGTTTGGTATTTGATGGGATATGCATCTGTTTTGGAGAGTGCCAAGTGTAAAGGAGATGATGCAGAAGATGCACTGACCAATGCCAGAGAATATTTACAGAATGCTCAGACGGTAATTTCATTTCTTTCCATTTTATTAAAACTTTTTTCCTCTTTAATTTAATTTAAAAATGAGCAAATTTCATTTGATGACAATTTCCAAAACAAAAAGCCAGGAAAGTGAATGTCAGTACCAAAGTCAAGAGAGAAAGTAGAGGCTTTCAAATATCAAGCTGCCTGTGATCCAACATTTGGATAAGGTTTGTTGCCAAAATAGTATGTGGATGAATTTGTTTTTATAAACTTCTTTCTAAGACAAAAGATGCTCACAATTCCTAAAGGTTTGATTTTTTTTTTTTTTTTATATCTACACCTGGTGTTTTCAAAAGCATATTGAGTTTCCTCTCAACTTGCACATAAAAAAAAACACAAAAAACTGATAGGGAATCAGATCTTAGCTAATATATTGTCCTGAATTTAAGAACACCAATATATAACATGTCTCTATGTGATGCTGCCAGTCAATCTTCCCCCACTCAGATTGTCTTTAAATTTTTGATCTGAAGAAGCCTTGGTTGAAATGTCCTTGTGAGGAAGCAGATTACAAGAAAAAGAAGGTAGGAACTTTCAGGAAAGTCAGCTGTGACTCTTGCCTGTAGAAACAATAACATTGTTTATTTGTCAAGGGTTGCAGTCATCACATTAGGCCTTCCAAATTTCTCAGTGTTGCAGTCTACCTAACTAGAGCCAGTTTTTAGGGAGGTATCAATATTATTCAATCTATAGCAGTGTTTCCCAAAGTGGGTGATAGCACCCACTTGAGGACTCTGTTATGTTGAAAGGGGGCACTGGAAGATTTTTTTATTTCATTGGGGGTGGGGGTGAACATACTCATGTGGTGGTGGGCACGTATCTTTTTTTTTTTCTTTTTTTCCATATTTTCAAAAATTATTCAATATTGGTTACAAAAGCAAATTTCTGAAAGTGCTGTGGAAAGCTATCAAACTTTTCTTCATTGCTTTTCCAATTTCCTATATGGCTGAATGTGGTTTCAATGCAGTTACAGAGCTTCTTACTAAACAAAGAAACCGCCTGCAAATTACAAAACAAGGTGATTTATGATTACTTCCAAGAAGCATGGAGCTGAGAGTAAGAGCCTTAGCACCAAAATCAACCATCGCATTGAAAACATTGAGATAAGCTGTCAAATAAAAAAAATTTTAGGATTTTAATCATTGGCATTTCTAATAGAAATGAAAACAGTATTAACATTATTTTTGCACTAATATGTAAGTGTTATCTTGCTATGAAAGATGAATTCAGTATAATATTCAAAATTTAATTTGACCGGGGTGTGTGGGATGGGGGGCATTGACAAAAAGTTTGTGCCCAAAAGAGGCACTGGTTGAGAAAAGGTTGGGAAACACTGGTCTATAGAAACAACAGCAATGACATATCATGGTGACAGGTAGTCTGTTCAACAATTAAAACCTGGCACTGTGGCCAACAAAGTTTTGTCATAAACATTTTCACTTTATTATCAACTGCAAATAAAAACTAAGGCTGTATGAAATTTCTTCAGTTGACTAAATTCTTCTCTAGCACTATCTTCCAATGGGTAGCAAAGTCATTGGCTCAAATACCTGACTGTTCAACTCTACATCCCATCTCTTGCTCTTATTGCTTGGAACCATCATGAGGCCCTGTATTTATGGGGGGGATCAGATTTTTTTTTTAATGTAAAGAAAATAAGTAGCTGTACAAATCCTGGAACTATTGGGTCAGCAGACAAAAATAGATTTTTTTTTTTTTTTTTACCCACAGATTTATTTATAGTGTTCTGTGAAATAGGACTTTGTTTTGCTGGTTATATTTCTTTTTGTCCTGGAAATTATAGAATTTACTAAACTGATGTATTGTTTATTTTGCAGACATATCATAAAGTAGAGTTTGATGATCCTGAAATGTTAAAACACATTGAAGAATTATTGGAAAAAATTGGACCAGGTAAAAATGTTTCTGAAATTGTATTTCTTACTTTCTTTTCGTTAATGCAGTCTTTTAAATGTTTGAACCATGGATTGATTTTTAAATCATTGCAGGTATTGGGGAATCAGTTATAGCAGCTGATAAAATGAAAAATGTCAAAATTAACCTTAAATCAACTCTTGAGAATTCACATCAACAATGTAGCTACAGTCAATATTTGAATTGTTATTATCCTCAGCTTCAGGGTTTTACTGCCAAAAGTATGAATCCTTGGATTCCATTATAATAAAAAAAAAACACTTAATATCAGAGTTCTTATTCCTTTATTACTACTATTAATAATTATAATTAACATCCCCCTTTTGGAAATTCACACCTTATCTTCATTTTTTTTTTCCTCTGCACATTGCTGGGATGCATATCTGCTTTCTAGTGATGTTATTTAGTCTTTGGCGAATCCTCTTTATCCTGTTCTTGGCCTCGGTTAAGTGCTATATGTGATGCATGCTTGGGCAATCTTTTTTGATCCATGACGGATTATGCAGAAGATTTTCCCACAGTAGATTGCCATTACTTTCTGTGGTAGACTGGCTGCTAACCAAGACTATAGGATCGAGTCTGTCCTGCAATTCAACCCATAGCTGGGGATAGAACAGATGGATTTGTATTTTTCTCAAGGATATTTGTACATAAGTGAATGTAATGAACCAGGCTGGAATTGGCTCTCATTCTAAAATGTCATCCATTACACCACACATAAAAAATAGGTTAACATTGGGCACAAATGTGTTAAAAGATGGATTGTCTTCTATTTTCAGGTGAGAATGAGAATGGGGGTGAGGCTGATGGTCCTGTGAACGAAGTAAACTTCAACACTGACGATGAGACAGAGCAGGAAAAAACTGAAACAGAAGCTAAGCCAACGAATAAGGAAGCCGAAGCCATGGAACAAGATGAATGAAATTGAGTGTGTCATTTCCGTGAATACTTTTGTAAATAAAGTCTTGGTCAGTAATAGATTTAAACTCCTTCTTTTCATTTGTTTATCAACTGCATGCAGCTAAAAAGAAGAAAAGATGATTTTACAAAACTGATGGATTCATTTTGTTATTTACAAAGTAATGTTATGAGATGGCATTGAGTTTATGAGTACAAGAAATAGAATTATTATTGAACAAGGATGAAATTCTGACTGAAATTGTTGGCATTCACTTTGCAAGCGTTATTGATGTGAGTTTTACAAGTGGATCTGTAATTAGTAGCTGGTTGGTATAAGAGTTCACACAGCTGTAACTTATCAATTAGGATAAATTACAATTGATTAGAAGAGAAATGTAACCATTACTGGAGTGGATTTTACAATTAAGTGACTTCATACTTCATCTCCTAAATCTCTCACATGATGGCTCCAAGTTGTCATGCCCTGGTAAACCATTTCAACTGGCAGGTTAAACTCGCGTGAGGTGAGGAGGGGGATAACAAAAACAGCACAACTGGGCAAAAGATCTCAACACAGGGTGGAAGCATTCCTCAGATGAACTACAACAGCCTGGTGAGGGTTGGAATAAGAATTGAGAAGTTCATGTGAAAAGTTAGGTAATTTGCATTTTATTAGTATAGCAGAAGTACACAGAATTGTTTTTCAAGTGGGCTTGCGGAGAAATCGAAATCATTTAATTACAATGAAATGGATTAATACTTGGAATTGTCTGAGTTTGAACTCCTGATTTTAACTAGTATGATTGAATGAAACAATAAACATCCACCATTTACCCCACCCACATTACGTTCACTGCAGGAAAAATGACAATTCAAATAAGCCAGTGGGGGTGAATAGTGGTTGCTCTGTTTTTTATGTGTTAAACTCTGTTAATTTGAAAGTTCAAACTCAAACAATTTCAGCTACTGAATCTAACTTGCCTATCCAGGCTTTTTATATCACCTCAATTCCCATTCCAACTGGCATCAGATAAAACTTTGCCAACAGCTGTTACATTTGTATTCTTTGTAAAAGCATGAATCTATGTGTTGCCACATAGCTTAAATGCTTGCATGCTATATATATATATATAGTTAACAAATTAGAGACTTCTGGAATTTGAGAGAGGACCACTAACTTGGATAAACAAACATTAACTATTATCAAGAAATAAACAAATCTTAAAATTTAAAAAAAAAAAAATATTTTTCAATGAAAAGTCATGCTTTTTGTTAAACTCTTCTTCCTGGTCTTTTGAACAGGAGTAGAGGTTTATCCCTTGTTTCCAGTTCCCTCTAAAGTCTCCTCATTTTCTTTTACAATGAGTAGCCCCTTGCATTTTAGTGGATTTATTGCTTTGCTTGAGGCAAATTGATAAAAAACAGGGGGGGGTCTGTTACATTAAAATTTAGAGCCAGTGTTGAATCTGATAAAAACCAGGATCATGAAATCCAGATTTTCAAGACCGATAAACCCTCCTCATCTTCCAATTTGCTTACATTTTTTTTCCTGTACTAAATTCAGCTTTGTAAATGTAATAAAAACTCAAGTAGGCTGCTTTGTGAATTGGATACATGTATATTTTTCACAGAGGCCATTTTTCAAACAAAATAAGAATTTTTAAAGGCAGGTTGGCCTTCCCCATTTGAAAAACAAAACAAATCTTCCTACCTTTTGTCTCGCTCAATCTGGCCTTAAACAAAGTTTAGTAAATATCAAAAACCCATAGAAACAGGAAAAAAAAAAACATAAAATGCTAGAAATTTTAAAAATAGGAACAAATTTTTTTTGTTACTCTGTTGTTTTTATTAGACATTGTGAGTTTATAAATCTTAACCAAGTCTATCAACACTATTTACATTATTCGGTCTATTGTCCTCATCTTTGTACACTCCAGCCTTCTTCAGGTGGTTGGAATGTCAAACTGAACCCTTTATTTCACTCACCGGGGTAGACTGTTCTAGTTCCATGTGCCATGTGTAATGGATGTCAGTTATCTCCTGTTAATTCCCCTCTTCAAGTTCTCCACTGCCTTAATCAGGTATTGAATTCACACTCTTTTAACTAACGCCTTTATCCACTGTGCCATGTGTCCTTGTAAAACATGGCACATGGAACTAGAACTGTCTACCCCGGTGAGTGAAATAAAAGGTTCAGTTTGACATTCCAACCACCTGAAGAAGGCCAGAGTATGCAACAACTGAAATGTTGTAATAAATATGGCGACAAAGATGAGGACAATAGTCCAAATAATGTAAATAGTGTACATAATACCTCATCTCAGAAATATAGACAGATACTAAGTTTATCAACATACATCAGGGCCCTGCCTCAGCTTTTCACTGACAAGACAATGAAGCCCTGCATTGCGTCTCTAATTTCATTCACATTGGTGTGCACCATAAACTGGGAAAATCCTGCTGTACACTCAGAGGGAAGTGAAAGGTGAAAATAAGCACCACAGAAGAAAACTGAAAACCCATTTCCAATATATTTAGGCATTTATTTCAGAGATTCAGTATCTGTCTATATCCCTGAGATTAGTTATTATGATTATTTACATTATTCAGACTGTTATTCACATTTCCGACATTGTACACACTGTCCTTCTTCAGTTGATTGGAATTTCAAACCAAACACTATTTCATTCACCGGGGTAAAATTGTTCTAGTTACATGTCTCAGTTATTTCCCTTTAACTCAACTCTCAAAGTATTTTGGTTCACCACTGCTGTGGCCTGGTATTGAACTCATAACTCTGGGTCTCTAGTCAATGGATCTAACCTTTATCCACTGGGCCATGTGTCCTTTGGGTAGGAGACACTTCAGGACAACTTCTGACCTCAGATCAGCTTTTTCCCTTAATGAGAAATCTGACTTTGCCCATTACAATGCATGATTGGCAACTTGTAATAGACAGCAGGTACCCACTAAAGAAAAACTTGACACTACTTCAATTTCAACTGTGACTGGAAGTTTTCAATGTCCAGTTTGTTACCACTTGTTCCTAAACTTTTTCATTTATTTACCTACTATCCTCTCTTGGTCAAGTGGGTGGCCACTTTTGAATATCCCATTTCAGACTTTATTGCTGGCAACTAAGCATGAAATACTTAATCTCACCATCCTCTCCTATGTGGGTATCCCAATCCTAGTGTCACAAACCTTTGCAAATAATAATACTACTAAATAAACCTGAGATGAGGAGTTAACATTATTTACAGACAAATGTCCACATCCTTATTATTACATTTCAGCCACTGTGCCCTCTGGCTTTCTTGTCTATCAATCCAGGTAACCTTTAGTGAATTGAACACTTTATTAAATTAGGTACCTCCACGAGATTGCTAAAAAAAGAGCATAGCATGATGAAAAAGACGCCAAACTTGATGAAAACAAAATTTTATCGTCTAAATGTTTGTTATTATTAAGAGGAAAGGTCAAAGTATTTTTGGGGTATTTTTTTCCATTTTTTAATCGTTCCTAGCACATCCAAAATTTTCCTTAAAAATCTAGTTTTTTTGAGTCAGCAAAATTGACCATTTTTTTCCATTTTAAAAAAAACTGGAAATCTGACTTTGAAATTTTTTTAAATATCAATTATCATTTTTTCAAAACTTATTTTAAGAAAATCAGAAATTATGTTTATTTAAAATATTTTGAACCAAACTTAACTTAGCTTAGCTTTTGTGCCAAAAAGATGTAATTTGAAAATAAAACAAAGCAGGTCATAAACTTTCATCTCTCTTTGACATGTGATGAATGATATATTTACTAATTCCATGAGGCTAATTTGTTCTACGGAAGGAGAAAAGTGAAATAATTTACATTTACGTGAACAAATTATTTACCCCGTTATTTTTAACGAAAACTTTCAGCGGTCTTTTTTTTTTTTTTTTTTTTTGTATTTAGCTTTCACCTTTACGTTTATGATGCTTTATGGGAAATATATTGTAAAGAAATTAAAATAAAACTGTTAAGAGTGACATTAAATTTCATATTTCTTAAGAAAGGTATCTAATTAATTTATAGGTACCTTTCTTATGAAATTTTATCAGAATTGTACATAAAATACTATAATTTTATGTACATTTATTACATTCTACTGTTATTTGTATTTGCATTCATTTTATTATTAATTTTGATATTTCATTTATGGAAAAATGTCGTAACTGAGATTAATATAAAAATAAGATCATATAAATTTCATAAGATGATACTGATACTTGTAGGTACCCTTCTCAGTTGAAATTGAAAAATCAAATTAACTTCTCCACACGTGTTTCGCAAAATTAAAGGCCTTAACAGCGGAGAACAATGCTTAACTCAAATAACGCAACTTAATTATATTCTGGTTCTCTTCTGTATTTTATAATTACAGCTCGATTATAAGCACAAAATTACATTTCTTAATTATTGGGGATCTTCTGATTAGTCAAAATGATACAATTTACAACGCGCTAAAAAAAGATCTATCTTATAAAGACACTTATGAAAGCTGATGCGGCTTTTAACTAATTTTATAATATTTTAACAAATGTAAAATCTATTATAATTAATGAAATAACAAATAATTGTATTAAAAATTCATTTTTCATCGAAAAAATTTTTTTGCTTTAAGAAAATATTGTCGATATTCATAAAAACAACTAAAAGCAAATAAAAGCATTTGAAATTAAATAATATATTTGTTTTATTGAGTTTTGTATGTTACAATTCAAAGCTGATTTTCAGGTACTGCGTATCCAATTAAAAACAAAAAAAAACATGATTTGCATTCCTCAAAGCCCTGTGCTTTTAATTATTGTAATCACTAAAACCGATGCGATCGAATTTCTAGCGTTTTCATAAAATTAGTTATGGGGGGGGGGTAATAAATATTTTTAAAAAATATTTCTACCATGACTTTCATAAAAAAAACATATTTCTAATAATTTCGATCATCTGTGAATAGTTCCTGAAAGTTTCATTAACATCCGATAA